CAACAGAGTGAGACTCCAACTCAAAAAAAAAAAAAAAAAAAGAAGAGAAAGCACCCTGGCTGCCATGGCCACATGATAGGACTGCCCCCCAGGGCCACTACCGTTCTCCTGTGGCAGTCCTTGCCGACCCCACAGAGGAGGGCCCCACTGTCGGAAAAGCTGCGGACATGGAAGAGGGGTCAGCATCTCCTGGGCTGTCCTCTCCCCTCCTCCTGGAGGCACTCCGTGTCTACCTGAAGCAGCAGACAGTGTGGGGACAGCGAGCTGCCCCCGTCCAGTGCAGAGACCTGAGGTGGCAGGAGGGTGAGGTGGGCATGGTGGCCTTCAGCAGTGAGCCTCCCAGGTCAGGTCACACCCACCTTGTCCATGTGGCCGAGGAAGAAGCGCTGCTCCCCAGTGCAGACGTGCCAGACTATGATGACCACATGGCAGGGGTAGACAGCCAATCCGTCCTTGGCCCACAGGGCCTGGCAGGAGGGGGCAGGGCTGAGTCACAGCAGCACCCAGGTCCCTCCTGGCTACCTAGAGGTCAGCCTTGTCTCCCATCCAGCCCAGGAAGAGAGCATGGCAGACCCCACATACAACCAGGCCTACAGCTGCCCCGGGGCCCTCCCATCACATGCACACATGTCAACAGGACACATGTCACAAGAATGACAGCAAGTGCATGTGCGCCCATCCTCTAAGCTCTGCCTCTGGTGTAGGAAATTCAGGTCTGGGTGACAAAGGGCCCCCCAGGACTGAGCCTGCATCCTGAGAGCCGGATGAGATCCTGGGCTGCTAAGCAGAAGGAAAGGCCACCTCCTCTCCAACTGTGGCTCCCCAGAATGCCCACTTTGCCCACCAGGGTCCCACAAGTTGCACCCCCACCTGCCCACGCGGCTCAGTCACTGATGCACCATGCCTGTCAGAGCCAAAGGTATGAGGCGACGCTCGGTGCTCTGGGAGCATTTTAGCCCAGCCCGTGCCGTCAGACAGCCACGACCCCAAAGCCCACTCGCACCCAGGAGGTGAGGGGTGGGGGCAGGCCATTGAGGGCAGAGGGAGAGCTGCAGGGGTTCTGCAGGGTGAAGGGATCCCAGTGCCCAGAGGAAGCTCGGAACGCATATGGCCACCTCGGGGGACTCAGGGCCTCCCCGTGTCCCTCTGGGTGCTTGACACCCACACCACTCAACTAGAGCTGTTCCCATTCCCCTCTGGGTGCCTGATGCCCACACCACTGAACAAGAGCGGTCCTGGAAGCAGCACAGCGCTCACCCATTTGCTGCTGTGGCCACCGAAGTCAATGACCGCCTTGAGCCTCAGGATCGGGTCTGGGAAGAAGTCCTGAAGCAGGCAGACTCACGGTAAGAGCCAGGAGGGTGCAGCCTATCCCCCAGTGTTGCCCCTGCCGGGCTGGTCCCCCTTGAGAAAGCCGCCTTCGTCCTGGGTGGCTTCTGCTGGTTGCTCTGGAATAAGAAGCTGGGACTCTGGCTGCAGTGCCAGACCTCTCAGGGGCCCCACAGACCCCTGGGGCCAGAGCATGGCATGAGTCGGGCAAATACAAGCCTTTCCTTACTCTTTGCCAAGAGGATCTTGCTGGAAGCTACCTCCTACCAACTCTGCTTTCTGACAAGAGGCCGGGTAGGGAGAGATTAGCAGAAGCCCACCTGCCCCAGTGCTGCTCCCAGTGGACGCAGGCCAGGCCTGGCAGCCCCGACCCACACTTGCCCGGACCCGGACCCACACCCACACCCACATGGTTAGAGGTGGGCACTCACCTCCTGGACCATGAACACCTCAGCAGACTCACGAGCAAACCCAGGGACGCTGGAGGCAGCCGTGTGCCCATGAGACACTTCTACCCAGGATGAAGGCTCTTGGCTACAGATGTTGGGACCAACTGCACTGCAGACCTCTGAGCTTACAGGACAGGCTGATCTCTGGAAGAAATCTTGACACTGAGAGGGCCTGGCAAGACTGTGGGGGACAAGTGCCCATCAGCACTCTGGCACCACAACACCCAACCCAGTGTCGCAGGGAGGGAGCTCTCACAACTGCGGGACTAGGTATCTGGGCCGTGAGGAACACGCCATCCTGCAGGGATTTGCTGAAGGCCACCAGGCAAGGGGGCAGCTGTGGTACAGGCCCCAGGAGGACTGCAACAGAGCAGAGGCCCCATGACTGGCAGAGCCCAGCACAAAGATGGCGGGCAGGGACAAGACCTCCAGGCACTGGGGCCACAGCAAGCCGCTCCACATTGCTCGCTCTACAGGAGAGAAGCCAACCTGAGCTGCTGCCCACCATTCCACCAGGCCCCAGAACCCCCTCTTGGATGAGCTTGGGCCCCTGGATGTCCTCTCAAAGACCTCCCAAGTTCTAGGCACCCTAATGACCAGCAGGCAGGCAGCCCTAGGCACACACCAGGTGCAGTCACCACCCCCTGGGTTCCTCCCTGTCCTTCTTTCTCCTACTGAGCTCCATGTGCTCTGCAGACCCAGTCCTTTCCCTGCTGACTCCACAGGCCCACCTGCCTCAAGGGGAGCAGCACATGCCCTGCAGGCCTGAGCCAGGTCCTTGCCGGCCCCACAAGTTCACTTGTCTTGAGAGGGGAGTAGCACATGCCCTGCAGGCCTGGCCCTAGCCCTGCCAACCCCACAGCCCCACCTGCCTCAAGAGAGGAGCAGCGTGAGTCCTACAGGCCTGAGCTAGGTCCCCACTAACCCCACAGGCCCACCTGCCTCAGGAGGGGAGCAGCACATCTGGATCGGCTCTGGAGGTCCTCTCAGGTTGTCACTTGGGAACCTCAACAGGGAGAAAGAGTCAGCCATTTACCCTCTCACCACCCAGAAGCTTCGTTGAGAAGGACAGTCGCTTACTGGATATGGAGGTAGTGGTCATGCCAGTTCTCCCCCTTCGGCACCAGGAATGCCATTTCCCGAAGCACAGGAGTGACAAGCAGCTTTGTCCGCTGAGCCCCAGGGACAGTAACAGCTATGGGGAACAGGGTCATCCCAGGTCAAAGGAAGCCTGGCTAGCTACCTCTCCCAGCTCCAGGCGAGACTCCACATACCAGGGGCTCACTAGGGCATTGCCCGACCACCAGCCCATACCCAGACACCACCTCCACCCCAGCACCACCTCCAGCCGTGCCACAATAGAGCTCAAAAGCAGCACAGCACTTTGGGTTGAGAACCTGGGGTGTGGGAGAATCTGGAAGCTGACAGTGAGCAGGGGGAGGGCAGTCTGCAGCTGGGCACAGGGCAGGAGCATGGTCCTCACCAGAGTCAAAACACAGGTCACTGGTGTACAGGTTCCTGACTAGCAGGCTGGCATACAGCCTGATGCTCTTGAGGTGAGTGTAATGCTGGTTCAGGTAGACCAGGAGGATATCATGCAGGTCCAGCTGCAGGCAGGTTCAACGAGTGTCACAGGGAGCCATGCCCACCAGGTCTGCAGGACAGCCACCAGAGGTCAGCGCCCACCATCTTGACAGCCCCCACTCCTACAGTTGCAGCCCTGTGCCCTCCAGGGCATGGAGCCTAACTGGGCCTGCACTATCTCCCTCAGGGCACTCAGGACCACTCACACCCCGTGTGTCGGTGTCACCTCTCCTGCACCCCCTGACCTCAAAGATGAAAGGAAACTGAAGCCACGTGGCTGTGGGCTTAAACTCCTTGAAAAGATTGAAGAAAGACACGTGGATAACCTGGCCGTCCTGGGAGACAGAGCATGGCTGTGAAGAGCAGGGTGTCAGGGCGCAGGGGCCCATGAGCGGCTCCCACCCTGGATTCAGTACCTCAGAGGACACATCCAAGGGGACGATGAAGTGCTTGCTGGGCAGGGGCTGGAAGAGCACATACAGGTATCGCCCAGTCAGCCCAGGGACTGGGAGCTGGTGTTGGGGAGCTGAATGTAATTGGCGGCCGAGATGGAGCCCCGGATGCTATAAACGGTGCCCTACAAGGTCGTGTCCTGGAAAGAGGTAGGCGCCCAGGTCCACTGACACACCAGGGAGCACTGGGGAGGAGCGCCCGGGACAGGGGTTCAGGGAGATTCCCAGGAACAGAGGCAGGACGCCTGGCTCCGCTGCGAAGTCCCCAGCCAACGCACTGTCACCGTGGACACGTCTCCCCCCTTAGTGGACCGCTTACAATCGTCCACCCTGAAGTGTCTAAAGATGTTGAGGAAGCCAGGCTCGGTGGCTCAGCCTGTAATCCCAGCACTTTGGGAGGCTGAGGTGAGTGGATGGCCTGAGCCCGCGGGTTCGAGACCCGCCTGGGCAACTTGGCGAGACCTCATCTCTACAATAAATCAAAAAATCAGCCGGGCGGGATAGCGCGCGCCTGTAATTCCGGCTACTCGGAAGGCTGAGGCGGAAGGATCGCCGGAGCCCAGCAGGTCGAGGCTGCGGTGGCGAGAGCGGCCACTGCACTCCAGTCTGGGCGACAGAGTGAGACTCCGACTCAAAAAAAAAAAAGACGTTGAGGAACGGCTGCTACCACGCTGGGGAGGAGGCGGGGGCGCGAGGACCGGGCCACGCACGCCAGACCCTCCGCGCGTCCCGGGCGTGGGGGGCTTCCCAGTGGGACTGAGTTCCCAGAGCCTCCCCCGCGACACTCATTACCGCCACGCGAACAG